CATCCAGATGCATATCATAAAAGTAGAATATTAGATGAAGAGATTGCTAAATCTAAAAGCTTGAAAATTTATACAAGCAATAGTTCGTTAAATAATCTTGATTGTGACTCTTTTTTCTAAATGTTAACAAAGATAAATAAAAATTTCATTATTAATCAATTAGAAATTACTACTTATTAATTATTACCAACAATATTAATCAATTAGATTCTAGTAACATAGTAAAAGAATTGATGGATGACTAATTTAATCTCCACTATTAATTTATTATCTTATTTTTTATTTATCTTTTTATTTCATCCTTATTTTATTTCTTATCTTGTAACAATATTTTGAATTAAACTTTTTATAATTTTTCAATTCTTGTTAAACGAGGTATTATTTCAGCTAATTAACAATTATGGCTTAACTTTTGGGCTACTCTTGTCAATAGAGGTTGGAATAGTCGACTAGGTTTTTTTTTTGAACAACTAATAGTCGACTAGTTAGTCAACTACTAATGCTACTAATGCTAATACTAATACTAATATTAATACTATGCTAATACTATGCTAATATTATTATTGTCTGACCAATTACATTTTCGTGTTTTATCATTCAAAATGGAAAAATTTTATGCGGGTGAGTATCAATACCATCAATATGATGATGAAGACAATAGTAGTGTGTTGTTGATGATAATTTTACATGTGAATGAATAAACACTTCCAATATAAGGTCCAATAATCCATTGGTTTCAAGTTCCAATGATTTAAGTGGTGGTTCCAGAAGACCTTTAAAAAAACGAATTGTAACACATGGTTTTGTGTGGAAGTATTTTGAAAAAGTGAAGATTCGAATAGAAATGAATTCATAATTTGCAAATTAAAAAAAAAACGAAATATTATTATTATAAAAAAAAGATTTAGTCGACTAAAGAAATTTTTGACCAACTAGTAGTCGACTAGGGATTTTTTGGAAGATTCCAACCTCTACTTGTCAATTAATTCGTAATAATTTGGTGCTTGTCAATTAATTAGTTTATGAATTTACTTGGTTCCTTCTTTCTTGTATCTATATGAATCTGTGAGCACACTTAATAGCACCAGATAACTGTAAATAAACAAAGATGACCCTTTTGCAATACTATAAAGTCCCTTTGTTCGATTTGTTTCAGTTGTTTACCCTTGTTTACATTTATTGGCCGATTGCAAACTCGCTTTGGTTTACCTGCAAAAAAATTCAAGTAGCTTGTTTAACTAACAGTATTTCCGAATTAACCTTTGCTTGCTCACTAAAGCAAATTACGTTACCAAACATTGTTAACACTCGCTAGTTAGTCCTAACCTTGCTTTGCTTGCTACTAAAGCAAATAAACGTGGCTTTTACCAAAGCTCCACAATCGCTACCTTTTACAGGCACTAACTGTTTTTTTATCAAAGCGCTTTAAAACAAAAAAAAATAAAGACAATATTTTTATTTTTAAAAGTTTATTAATGATTAATTTTATTTAATAAAAATAATGATTATATCAGAGTTTTATTTTATTATTTTCCTCTACGAGGACTAGAAGTTATCCCAATGAAATTTCCACAACAATAAGGATAAAAGATAAAGATGCAAAGTAACTTGATCAATCAATTATAAAAGGTTCTTGTGTAAATTTTCATTTGATACACTAAAATTAGTTGACCCTTGAACATAAACCCTAATCGATGATTTTATCATCACATTATCAATATTAATGCAAGGAATGTTTGGATTTGGTAGTAAAATGAGTGTGTAGGAACTGAATTTATACTCGGCAAAAGAAAAGCTTAACTTTTTGGGAACAACTCATGAAACAAAGGATTTATAAGAAAAAAATACCTCGGAAATATATTTATAAGATTTTTTTGTGAGCTTTTATATTTTATTCTCCTTTAAAGCAATTTTACTTGCATCATTTTGACTTAATGGCAGCGAATTTGACGTAGCAATTTTATAACTGTGGCAACATTTCGTCAAACAACATTAGTTCGGAGCATCAAATTAGCACTAGATGAGAAGTATCGCATATTATCATATATTCATGATTAATGATGCAGTATTTAATAAAAATGGATTATTTCATGGCCAGATGGTGCATTGATCGAGTAGTCTAATAAATTACCACCACAAAACATATATAAATAGACCTGCTACCTCCCAAAAAATGCAAAAAACGGTGCTTTTTACGTTGAATTCGAATTTGAGAGTCGAGGTACGTAGTGTTGAAGTGATATTCTATATATGATTCAGCTTTGCACGTTACATTCAAATGTGAGGTGTCTATACATTCGTTTGGAGCATCAACATTAGCCAGTCATAATTTTTATTCGTTGCGTTGAGCAAAATTTAATAAAAGATCCTTTGCAAAAAAGAACCCTCATGTGAATCGAAAGTTATTTACGAATTTAGATTGTCAAAAAAATCAACCAAGCTTTTTTTCTAATTAAAAAAAAAAAGATCTTTTTGTCCTGATCTCTTCCTCGTGTTTATTTATTCAACCCAGATTAAAGGCAATTGGATCTTTTTTTCAAGTCTATCGCTATATAATAATAAACTTCATGTAAATTGTGAATCGAAAGTTATTTACGAATTTAGATTGTCAAAAAAATCAACCAAGCTTTTTTTCTAATTAAAAAAAAAAAGATCTTTTTGTCCTGATCTCTTCCTCGTGTTTATTTATTCAACCCAGATTAAAGGCAATTGGATCTTTTTTTCAAGTCTATCGCTATATAATAATAAACTTCATGTAAATATCAAAGTTATTTACGAATTTTGATTGTTAAGAAAAAATCAACTAAGCTTTTTTTTCTTAATTAAAATTCTTTGCAAAGACTAATCAATGGATTTTTTATTTGTTTCTCCAGATCATCCACTATCCCTCAAATGGTCAAAATTTGTACATATTGTTTATCGATCATTGAATTGACCAATAATAATAATAACATGAAAATAATGTTTTTGAATCCTGGTCTCGTGACCCGGAAATATAACACGTTGCATGACAGGTTTTTGATCCGAGGTAAAGGCTTGATAAGTTCAAACGGTCCGAAACGTCAGAACAATACAAAGATCTAATGGTTGACACCACGCAAAAAACATCTAAAGCAAAACTTGATTTCCTTTCGGTCGCTCACCCTGACGTTTTGAACAAAACTAGAGAATTTTTCGGTTGCCAAATAGATATAAACGGGAATTTGCATGACATGGCGATGTAAAAATAACCACAACCATTTATTTTTGGAAAATGAAAATATTTTTGTTTTTAAATCAATTTGCAAAATCATTTCAAGCCAGCGCAGCAAAGAAAAAAAAACGACTCATCACAAAGTTTTACCCTTTGATTTTGATCTCATCCTTCCCCAAAAATTCAGTTTACTAAAGTTGAGAAACAGGACATTTAGAATATTTGTGCTGATTTGTATCATAACTGAACTGAACTGAACTGAACCGAATATTCTTTACAAATGAATTATTTCCTGTGCAACCAAACATTTCAAAATTGGGTAAAGTCATTAGATTAGGGAAACATACAAAAAAAAAAGGGGAAATATTACACAAAATATAAAAAATCTACACAAAAATTACAACATTTAGTAGGGCACCATAACACAGAAACCTTTTCTTCTTTTATATATGTTAATTTGTTAGTAATAGCCAATTCATTCTGACCAATTAATCATAAATTTATTAATAATTGGTGACAGTAGTTTCATTTATTGTTTAAAATTTCAGATTTAGTTTCTTTACAAAGTGCACATTTGGAATTTTTCACAGTTATACCTTGAAAATGTTTTAAAAGATAACAAGTTCGTCAACCCTTCTGCTTTATTTTTACTTGATTTTGTAATTTTTCTATACTTTGGAGCCTACTCTAATTTCATTGTAAACTAGACATCTGCCACATAATACCATACTGGAAATTCTATTACTAAGTATGTCAAAATTGCAGATACAGCCGGAATTAGGTTAAAAAAGTGTCAAAAAAATATATCCATAAAGTTATAATAGGTGTTGCATATCAATATACCCCCACTTTAATAGGTTTTTTACTTTAAATTACACATGCATAAAAAATTAGTGCAACATTTCAAATGTCCACCATGCTTACTCATTTACATTATTCTAAAAAAATTATTTTAAGATTTTTTATATTAATATTTTATTTAGGCATTTCAAATTTATATTATGGTCAATTGGAAAAAAAGAACTACAGATGCATATGAAATACCAAACCATGGCAGACCAAAAATTTTCAGTTTATCTGAAGTTAGAAGGTTTTCTAAAAATAAAGAATAGATAAACCAAGTCCAATAATTAGGTGGTGAAGCCACTTCAGAAAATTTATGGGCAATTAGTGTCCCTTCAATTAGATGATTGAATACTAATTACAATTTAATTTAGATTCAAAAGATGGCAATTGCTGAGATTAGGATGCTGTTAAAAGAAAATGATATAGTTTCAACAGGAACTAAAAGTGAAATTAAAAGTAGATTATAAGATGTAGATAAAATTTCATTTTCTAGAAATATAAATTACATGAGTCATAAGCAAGTAATAAAAAAATAATGATAATTTTTATCATAAATTCAGGTATTAATATTATATATCAATATTCTAGAAAAACTTTATTAGAAAAAAATTTATTGCCTGATTTGGCATTGAAAAACTTGGGAAGAAAAGTGTGGCCAACATCTAAATTAGAAATTGTTGAGTGGCTCAAAGTAATGTTTCATAAAAGGTAATATTAATAAAATATGAAATTATCAGCTGAAGATATATTTGAAAATTCAAAAATATAAAAAAAAAAAGTTGCAATAAGGGCAAGTTCATCATTAACTTCAACATAAAAAGAGAATAATAAAACATATAACATTATACATTTATTAGCAAGTTTTTCTTATGTAAAATTTATAGCCTTACATGAAAAACTTCTAGATGTAATTTTAAGTGTTATAATTCTCAACTATGTTATAATAGACTGTTGTTCACATATAATTGCTCTTAATAAATGATTCACATCATGTTGCCATTAGTATGAAATCGTCAATTAATATGTGATCTTCAATGAAAACTAAGCCAATGAAATTAAATCCTGCAAAATTTTTATTTGTGCATTAAATTTCACTTTGATAATTCTAAAATAGCGAAATTGAATGAAATATGGTATTAAAAGTTAAAGCACTTTATGATTGTTCAGCCGACGATGATTCTGAATTATCTTTCAAAAAAGGAGATATAATTGTTGATGGTTAGTTAGATGTTATTTTAATTTGATGTACCTTTAATTGACACAATATTTTATATGTATATGTATATATGTATGTATATTTTTAAATAGTTACCAAAACAAATGAAGAAGGTTGGTTAGAGGGAAGAAAAGAAGATTCAAACATAAAAGGATTATTTCCAAGCAATTATGTTCAATTGATTGAAGAAAAGGTTTCAATAATATTTTGATTCTGGAATATATATATATTTATATAATCATAACTGATCTTTTTGTTCAAACTCAGAAAATTCCACCAAAAATACCTCCTCGCAAAATTGGTACCAACTCTAATAATAATATACAAGAAATTGATAAATTACCTTTATTTGAAACAGGTTCTAGTGGGTCAATTAAAGATCCTGGTAGTGTATATATACATAAATATATAACTTTTTTTATATATTTAGCAATTTCTAATAATAATTGTTATGATGGTTATTTGGCAAGCAGAATCAGATATTGGAATATCAATAGGAAAGCCTAGAAAAATTTCAAAGAATACACTGGCTGTTTTTGAGTCTAATGAGACTTTGCCAATAAAACCTTCTATCAACCCTAGATCAAAATTATCACCAAGTCTTGTTGATAATTCTTCATCAAGTTTTATAAAACAAACAAATAATAATTTTATTAATAAAAAAACAGAATCACGATCAGCCACCACTATTTTTATGCCACAAAAGAAACAGCCAACAAAGCAACAAGGATTCAAACATGATGATGATGATAATGATGATGATTCAATTTTATTACCTTCTATGATCAAAAAATCTCAAACTTCTTTATCAACCTCCAAACCTTCAATGATACCACCACCAATTGCACCTAAACCATTAATTCAAAATAAATCTGAAACAAATTTATTTAACAAATTTAACAACAATAATAATGATAGTAATAATAATTTGGTAAAGGATCGTCCAATACCTGATTCAAGACCACCATTACCTTCAAGAAAGCTATCAAATACTCCTTCAATCTCTAGTGCCAGTTCAAATAGTAATGATTCATTAGCACCACAAACACCACCAAGACCATTTTCATCAACAAACTCAAGTACTACTTCATTTGTACGTTTTCAAGCTTTTTTTGAATTCTTTTATTAACAAAATTGATTAAATTGATTTATATTATTCAAAAATTAAGACAAAATCAGTAGCTGAAAATCATACAGATAATTCTGAAAAGGCAAAGATAACAACACAAGATCAATCAGTAAAAGTTGTACAACAAGGAATATCTAATAACTTTTCTCAACTTAAAGGTATCATAATTTTGGTCTTTAGTTATAGTAACTTAAATTGATAATAAAATAATGCTATTTGAATATTTTGAATTTATAAATAGGGGAATTTGAAAAATCTCCATATGGTAATAAGAAAATTTCTGGTAAAGACCAATTTTTTTAAATTTATTTATTTCATAACACTGTAAAGAATGAAAATGGTTTAATTAATAACTTGGAAAAAAACTTTACTGCAGCTATAAAATCCTCACAATCACCACCACCATTGCCCTCAAGAAAAAATCTTGGATTAAGTACTGATTCAGAAATCAAAATTCCACATAGACCACTTCAATACAGTGGTGTGTATTTATTTAAATTTTATTTAGGAAAATAACCAAAATTTCTAATGTATTATACAATTAATTGGAAAAGTAAATTAACAAAAGGTATTCCATCAGATGCAAAAAAACGATATGAACTAGTTTTTGATTCTAATAAAGAAGAAGATCTTATTGATGGTAATTTTATTATTGACTAATAATTATGTTAAATATATAATTTTGTGCAAATACTGATGTCTTTATTTATTAGCTGCTGTAGTTAGAGAAATATATATAAGGAGCAGATTAAACAACAAGACTTTATATAAGATATGGTAATAGAATTAAGTTTAAATACACATTATATTATCTATCTATTTTAAACTAATGCTTGTTTGGATTTTTATTTAAGGGATCTTTTGGATACTGATAAAGATGGATATTTAAATAGAAACGAGTTTTGTATAGGAATGTTTTTGATTGACAAAAGACTTGAAGGAGACCCAGTTCCTGATAAGTTGCCAAAAGAACTATTAGTATGATACAAAATTTAGAAATTGGTGAATTACTTGAGCCATTTTCTTTTTCCTGTTTGAAATAGTTTTTAATTTGTTTGTACAAATAAATAATAAACATTATTAGAGTTTCTCATAAATGTATTTTTAATAATAAATTTAGTAGTGGATTTATTCAAATAAATTATTGAATATAGCTTTTTTTTCGATGTAAATCCAATTAATTACATGAAATCTTCACTGATTCTAAACTACCTTTCATTCTTTCTCTTTATAATTTAACATTATTTGCTTGCCATTCTATGTTTTTCAATTTCAACTTTTTGCTGTAAATTCTACATTTTTAAATGGGCAAAGCTGTAAAATTACATTTTTGAGAAAATAAAAGACCTGCATTTCTACTAATACTTTAATGGAAATTATCTCAAAATTTTATTATGCAATGTGACATTGTTTCTAAGCTAAAATTAGTTCTTGTGGTGAATTGCATATAAACTCAAAATTGCAATGTTTACAGTTATTGTCCATGCCCCATTTACTAACTCTCATAAATTGTCTTTCTCTGGTGCTGATACTTTAAGGGATGGGTCTATTTCTCTTCTTGCAAGTTATTTGTCTGGCAAACATTTGATTACATCTCTTAGTGCATCAACATACTTTAAAAATAGCAATTTTTACTTTTGTTACCAGGACAAAATCCTAGTTTGTGAGAATGCGTGTAACCATCCTCAAGAGTTTAGGAATTCCTATATTATTAAATCTTTTAATAAAAATGGTAATGGTTTAAATCTTTTCCAATGCAGATTTATGTAATTATTACACTACTTACATAATAATAAGTTCAGTGGGTCCCTCGAAATAATATGTCACACGAATGGCAATTAATTTTATTACTATATTTGGTAATCAGAGGAACTCATTTTTCCTTTTTTAATAAATCGGTATTCTATATACTATTTTTGTTCTTTTCTGAGCAGAAAATAACTTTTTCTGAGTGGAATTGGATTTTGATTTTTATTAATAACAAGGTTGCTCTAAATTTTGTTTATTTCAGTCAAAACACTCAACTTCTTTAATGATCTACATCTTTTAACTTCCATCAAGAAAAAATCATAGGATAAATAGCATTAACCTGCTTGGCAAGTTAATTTTTTTTTGTTAATAAGGATATTTAATGGTATTCCAAATCATTTTTCTTGTATTTTGATTGGTAGACCTCAATAGCCAATGATTGGATTTTATCTATGCTTGTCCTGCACTATATAAATAAATTTATAAAAATTAGAGAGCTTTGGTCAATGAATCAGTATTAAATTCTAATTCTGGTAACATATGTATTTTGTTAACCCAATATTTAACCAATTATAAAAAAACTGTACAAGTATATATTGGAAGCAAAATTTTATCTTATTTGAGGCGTGGACAATATAAACAAGGTCAACATCTATGGTAACACTATTGAAATTGTTTTTATTGTCCATGCCAATCAACATAGAACAACTACCTTGTTTCCTTATCAATATTGTTATTTTAATTATTACATGTACATGAGTAAAATATGAATCTTGCTGTTGGTCAAGGAACTCTCTCTGTAATATCTTCCAATAAACAAAGTTTATTAAGTAGTTAAAGGAAATATTTAATAAATAAATAAATAAATAAATATAAAATACAAGGCAAGTACATATCAAAAAATTTAAAAATATGATGTGATTGATTACCCAATAATTAATTATTATTGTTGTTGTCGTTGTTGCTTAATAGTTTATGTGCTTGGTACCATTTATACAACAAGATACTAGCTGTAGTTACAACTATAGCAGAAGAAATGGCACCTAAAGTTGCGCCAATGATTAAATTATGATCTATTTTTTCATCATTATAATTAGTGTTTGTAGGAGTATGTGATAATGATGATGATGGTGACAATTGCAATGAAGATGTTGATATTATATCCCTTTTTTTATATTTAGTTAATGGATTATTATTATCATCATCATTTGCATTATCATCATTATTTTGTGTTATTATTATATTATCAATTAAATGTATTACTCCATTTGAAATTAAAATATTTGATTTTAAGATTTTTGCATTATTAATAAATATTTGATTTGAGCCAATATCTTCATGGTAGTAATTATCTTCATTATAACCAGCATTAAATTCATTATTATAAATAAAAACCCTTAAATGATTTCTATCTAAAGTTTCAATAATTGAATGATTTTTAAAATCATTGGAATAAATTATTTGATTACTAATTATATGATATTTTGATGAAGTTGAAGAAGATGAATTATCATCATCTATAGTAATAAATACAGTTATATTTGTTAAAGAATCAATTAAATTTGATAAACTTGGTTTTTTTAGTGATGAATGAAATTTTGATGTTGAACTTAAAGATGATATTGTTTCAGAGAAAGATTTTGGTGGAACTAAAACTAGATTTTTGAAATTAAAAAGTTGTAAGAATTAAAAGAATTAAAAAACCTCAAAAAAACAAAGATAAAGAAAATTTACCATCGTCAATAATATTTATGATCCCATTTGAACATTCAATATTAGATTTAATAATTTTTATTCTATTATAAATTAAATTATATATTAAATTATTATTGTTATTGTTATTGTTATGTTGCCAGTATTGAAGATGTTGTTTATTATCAAATTTAATTACACCTAATTATAATAAATTTATTAGAAGAAATAATAATAACTTTCCATATAAAAATTAAAATAAGAAAAATTTAAAAATTTACCTGAAATTAAATGATAATTTATAAAATTATTAATATGAGATTCATTCTTAAGTAAATAATCATTTTTTAATAATGCTTGATTAGAAGGAGCAAAAAAAGTAAAATATTGATTATTGTCATTTAACAATTTAATTAAATCATTTTGTCTATCAATTAATTTTGATAAATAACTTAAACTATTATTATTATATAATTTAATGTTTTCATAAATATTATTATCAAGCAATGATTCATTATTATTATCATTATTAAGTAATGATTCGTTATCCTCATTTACATCATCATTATTACTATTGATATTACTGTTATTTAATAGTAGCAATATTATAATAAAAATAGTAATAAATATTATTTTTATATTGTGAATTTTTATTGATTTTTTCATGGTATGGTTATTAATTAAAATTAAAAAAAAATTTTTTTCCGTTTATTTATTTAAAAAAAAAATAAATACACAGTTTTAATTTGTACTAGCATGATTTTCGTAATACATATGTAATAATAATAAGCATTTTGCACTACCAAATATTACAGGGTTCAAAAATGCAAAAATTTTCACATTTACTGTTATTTTACCATTATATTTTCACTTGATCTCATGCTTACATTAACCAGCATCCAAATAAATTAAGCAGAATTGAAGGTGCTAAAAATCAATAATAATATTTATCCAAAAAGAATTTCACTGGTCGAATGGCATTCACATTAATTCAATTTAAATGGGAAAGTAAAAGGTATTTTATCAGCATGGTGGACATTCGAATGTTGCACCAATTTTTTATGCCGTGTAACGTAATTTTTAAAGTAAAAAAACTGTGCGCTCAATTACAGTATACTCTCTCTATAACGACCCTGCCTATAACGACCCTCTCTCTATAACGAACTGAGATTTAAAGCCCGATTTTTTACTATTTAAAAATCTCTGTCTATAACGAATTTATTAATTAACTTTTCTATACTGTATAATGAACTGTCTCAGAAAATCACCATATATTAATATTAATATGTCCTATATCTGTCTATAATGAACTAATGACCATATATCACATGACATTGATTATTTTCCATTTATTTTTTTCTTAATTTAGTATGGTGCAAGTCACTTAGTCGCTGAACTTTTTATTGGCTGTGTAGATCCTATATCCTCTCCAAAAATGGAAATGTA